AAGTGTCTTTCTTTTCTGGTTTGCAGGAAGGGGAAGAGCAGGCAGGAGGTCTCCCATCGCCACCAAGTGAGGAGCCATGCAGCCCTAGCCCTCGCTGCTCTTCTACAGGAGCAGAACCACACCCCATTCTGAAACCAAAGTTAGATTCCCTAAATCAGACCTACAAGCTGGGATACAGTGGAAATTCCCATTTTCCTCTGTCCTTCTTTGGCCAAAGGGGACCTGATAGAAAAGATATATTCTCCTCTAGACATGCAGACTGAGGTAGAAGTCAGAGTAATGTACCTCCTTTGGGGTCCAAGTCCAAGGCTGCAGTAACAAGGAAGGAAGTAGAGTCATTCTTGGAGCCTGGCAGGGCTGGTCCGGTTCTAACTAGGCTGCTTTCCCAATGTCCAAGCGCTCCCATTTCAGGCCAGCCACCCTTCCCTCAGAGGAGAGCAAGAGTAACAGGTAGGCTTCCCACAGCCCTGCAGATCCAGAATTCACTACCTCTGCTAGAAGGATCCAGGGACTATACTGCGAAGCAGTGCTCAAGGATGCAGGCAGAGGGGCACTCACTGGAGCAAGTTTGCCCACTGCCCCACCCAGGCTACGTCCTCCCACTCACCCCTTGGTAATCCCTGGGCGAGAACGTACTTCTAGTGTTGCAGGGTACCCAGGGCTGCCCCAGAAACTGGAGCTAGTTACACATTTGCTCCCTGGAAGCAGAAAACTCAAAAGGGAAGATTGGGTCCCGGGGTGGATCTAGGGATCGTTGACCCCCTCAGAGAAGGGGTAGAGTGGCCTTGAAGACAGTCCTCAACAACTGGGGTGTACTGGGGGCATCAACACCAGGCGCTTGGGCACCAGCCCTCTCCCCAGGGGCGCATACTCACCGCTCAGCAGGCGACCCTTCGAACTCCGTGGTTCTGACAGCAGCACCGCCAGCAACACGGCCTGCAACGCTGGTCCCGGCTGCATTGCTGGACTCCAGTGCGTCCCAACACCCCGGGACTAAGGCAGAGAAGTGGGCAAACAGGCGGCTGTGTTCGGGCAACTGCCACCGAGGCAGCCGCATCTCTTAAGGACACACAGAGCCCGCACTGGGAGGAGTCCGGGAGGGCGCAGAGTCTGTTAGTTGATTGCCCCTCCGCCTCCTGGGACGTCACTGCGGGGAAGGCAGCCCCTTTTGCTGGCCCGCCCCCCGAGGGCCTGATCTGGTGCTCTGCGCTCCAGGCTCCAGAAAGTGCTTGTTTAGAGGAGGGAGCCGGCAGCTGACAGGGCCAGCTCTCCGGAGAGAGCCACCCAGGGAGATCCTGGGTTTGCCTAAGAGAGAGAGTGAAATCCCACTAGGGAGTCTCTGAACTCCCAGGAAGAGGGTACAATATCTTCAAATAGTATAACCTCTCACCCTTATCACTATTCCCAGTTCTTACCAAGTGGGCCAAAGTGGCAAGACCCCTACTCACATCTCAGTAAGCTTCAGACCCAGGCTGCACCCAAGAAAAGACAACATGAGGGGAATGGATTCTCAGGCAGGTGGTGTGTCTACTGCCTAGGAGTGCTTCAGACTGAGGAGCTTCCACAAAATGAGGTAGAGCAGGAGTTCCTAAGAGGCCTCCACCAGAAGCTAGTGTTCCACATCTCAGCCAGAAAGCCATCTGCTTTGTGCAGGACACATTGGCAGGTGGGAGTGGTTTGGTGGACAGAAAGATGACTCTCCTAGGAAAGAATGATCCTACCCCCCATTAAAGCTTCCATAACCAATGTAGCCTAAGTGTACGCTCCCCTTAAAACTCCCACAATAGTTGTTTATATTTGTGTCTTTTAGTGAATGTGTTTTCAAATTCACACAATAGAACCAGTTTCCTGTCCAAAAACAAAACAAAAAAACCAAAAACCAAAGGACAGCAACAACAAACTATGAACTAAGTAAAAAGCCAAGGTTTCTTTGCCTTTCCTCTAGGCTATGGTGTTGTGAACCATAGCAGAAGCCACATCTGAGCTACGGACTTCTAGATTTTGGTTCCAGTGTGCTTCTCTTTACTTATTTATCTAGCTTTTCAGAGGAGCAATCAGAAAAGCAGAGATGGGGCTGGAGAGATGGCTTAGTGGTTAAGAGCACTCATTACTCTTTCCTAAAACCTGGGTTCAGATCCCAGCACCAGTGTGATGGCTCTAACAAGAGTTCCAAGGGATCTCCTGGCCTCTTCCAGCCCAAAGGGGGCACCAGGCTCACATGTGGTGCACACACATAAAAAAATGCAAGAAAAACACTCAAACACAAAATGAAAATGAATCTTTTAAAAAACGAAGCAGTGATGTTCCCACAGTCTTGACCCACTGCAGTTCTAAACAAACAGGCCTGGAATAAAGCAGGAGTAGGAACAGGCTCTGCCCCAGCTCCAGCTGAGACTGTGTTGCAGTTGCAGAACACAGCAGTGACAGGGTGGGGGCGAGCAGTCCTTCCCTGTGTTCTGATTAGAATATCTCACAACAAACAACTATTCTTCCTAGAAGGTCTTGGCCATCCCAGCAAAGCAACAGCTGTTGTGGTGGTAGGGTACTGAAGTGGTACCCGATGTTCTGTTTGGAGTGCCACCTTTCCTCAGCATCTGTGTGACCTTTGGAATTAGCATTATGTTTCTTGGAGGCCTTAATAATTACCTTAAGACCTTTGTGATGGTCTGTCAAGGATAATATGTATGTAAATATGGAGTTACATTTGTCTTAATGTCGGTTTAAAATTTTTTCTATTACAAGATCTGCTTCAACTTATGAAATGACCACTTTGTTTCAAACAGTTAAATTGTGTCCTGAGTTCTCCTTGTGACACTCTGACTTTGGTCCATATTAGCTTCGTTAACATATACAATAAGCTGAGTGTAGTGACTTATAGTCATGACCCCAATTCTTCACATTTCCCAGGATACATATCCTTTATTATGATAATCCAGTCCTCCTTACTAAAGAGGCTGAATGTTTCTCTATGCAACGAGACTTGATTAACCCATAGACTAAATCAGAACTTTATGAGCCTACAGCAGAAAAGTCCTTTCATGTTCTGCTCATTCTCTGATCTTTTGACTGAGAGGATCATGCCTCAGATAGCCCACTGACCCATGAGTGTCCCCAAGAGGATGGTGTGGAGTGCAGGGCTGCCTCAGTCTGTTGACAGGCTTAAAGTGTGACAGAGCTGCTTTAAGTGCCCTGAAATCAGATCAGTTAGACCATGAGCTGACCTTTGAGAAATAGCAAAGATTGCTTTGTAACTTTGTTAAGCAGTACTGTTGCTGTAATAACTAACTGTTGTACCTGGTAACATGGGAATGTGTCACTGTGGGAGGACTAGTTGCCACAAAATCCCCACAATGTATAATTTTTTTCTCTTTCTTCCCCCCCCCACCCAGTCCCTAGAGAAAAGGTTTCTCTGTGTATCCCCGTCTGTCCTGGAACTTGCTCTGTAGACCAGGCTGATCTTGAACTCACAGAGATCTGCCTGCTTCTGACTCCCAAGTGCTGAGAATAAAGGTGTGTGCCACCACTGCCTGGTGGACAATATGTAATTTTTCTTGGTAAAATTTCTTTGGCCCAAGATCCATTCCTCAGCTTGATGAGCTCGAAGATAAGAGACCGCCAGCTGAAATGCTTGAGCTCAGAATGTTTTGCATTTTTGAATGTTTACACATACATAATGAGATGTTTTGGTGATAGGACCCAAGTTCAAATGCAAAATTGTTTCCTCTACATTTTTTACACATAGTCTGAAGGTAATGTTCTGCAATATAATATTTGTTTTTCATATGTGTGGTGTCTGTATATATATATATATATATATATATATATATATATATATATGTGAGTGTGCACTTGTGCTTGAATGTATGAAGGCCAGACACTGACATTGGGTATCTTCCTCAACTGCTTATTTTGCACATATTTTACTCTCCATATTTTTTGGAACAATGTCTCTGACAAACTTGATGTTCACCAGTTGCCTAGACTATTAGGCCAGTGAGAGCCATGCTACCTGTACAGATCCTCCAGTCCCTGCATCCAAGTCTGGGATCCATAGGTTCTCATGCTTGTGTGAAAAGCACTCATGGCCACTGAGCCATCCCCTTTGCACCTTCTACTATATTTTTAGTGTACCTGTATTTTTATTGCAATCCTCACATGAGGCCAAGTACAGAATTTTCTATTTGTGGTGTGATACCAGTACTCAAAAGTATTTGGATTTTGGATACTTGACCTCGTTCTGATTTCAGGTTTTTGGATGATGGCTGCTTAATATGTTTACACATTGAGAATTATAAACCTAGGGTAAACCAATGCTTAACTTGTGAAGCATATTGTCTTCCTTTAGGCAAGGAAAGAATCCCCAGTGAACATGGAACCAGAGCAAAGGGTATTAGTTACATGATTTTAAACTTTAGGCTTTGACAACCCACCCTGTCAGTCTTCACAATAGCCACCTGTCTGATAAATATTTCAACATAACAGGATACCTTTTCTTCTTGACAGTGCAGAGAGACAAATCCTTAGCCTTCTGTTTTCCAATATATACTAAAGGAAGTAGGCTCTGAGTGAGCTTGGTTGGCAATGGGGTTATGCACCTGTGTATAAGACACAGCCATGCTGAGATCATTATTCATAGGTCCAGTAGCAGCAACTCAGCCCTGGGTTCAGGCATGTTCTAGAAATGGGATAAGCCAAATTTTGGGAAAGGGATATTTTTAAGAGAAGTCTTTAAGTTTTTAAGAATGCCTTTTCATCCCTGTCTTATTATTTTTGCTGATAGTACCCAAGTCAGGGGGCATAGATAGCCCCTTATTCTTGTTGAATATTCATAATACAATTAAATACATACACTCTGGAAATACCCTTTAAATAAAAGAAAAAAACAGGAGTTTTGGATGTGTAAGATGAGAAAGATGATTACAGAATGTCAAACACAATGGTACACAATAAATAAAATAAAATAGAAACAAATGTTCAATAACTGGCAAAATCCACCTGTCTGTATTCTTAACTTTTATTTTAGTCTATTCAAACATGAATGTTCAGTAGTTATCAAATTTCTGGAAATCTGCACATCTTTTACCTAGGGATCCTGATGTTAGCATAACTTGTTTCAAAAGTGAATACATGCCAGTCACCTGCTTCCATCTATCAATCAAATCATTCCAAGGCTTTGACTTCTTCTTGTTCCTGTTTGTCTGACTCTGATGAGACTTCCCTGTACAATAGAATGCAGTCATCATGATCACAATGTAGCAGGGGAATGAAAATTCCCTTTTGAAAATTTCCCCAGTAGGCAGCATCATGGATTCTGAATGTGTATTAATATGAAACACATGTGAGAGAAATGGTTATCATACTGGGAAGTGTGATGTGAAGGGCGGGAACCACAACATCCTACCCTAACTGATTTCTTTGATTACTCCTATATCCTTTTATTCAGTCCCCCTTGAAAATGCAAATATTACCAGGGAGAATGCTAAGTATATCACTGTTAAAAGCATCACTATGAATTTACTTTATGTTAGAAAGAGCATAGGTTATTGAGGGAGGCATTATAAGCCTGCATCGCTTAGTGTAGGAATTTGGGGTAGAGTGGGCAAGATTAAGGGAAAAATACTTACAAAATTTAAGAAATGTTTGTATAAGTTAGTGTACAGTGTAGAGGCATTAATTCCCAAATTAGCTAATACCTAATATTACATGGTATTCCAGATTTTTAAAAACAAATATATTCTGAATCCCAATATTCACTTAAGTTGGATGATCCAGTTTCTCAAGGAGCTTACAATATATTTATAGACAAGGCATAAAATTATGTGAACTATTAAATAACTTGAAGATAGTGAATTAACTATTTATAAAATATGGACACCTAGCAGTGTGTGACTGCCAAAAGGATAGTACACACGGGGCCTTTACATTCAGATGAAGATGCTGCTGTGAAATGGAAAGAAACCCAGGCTTTGGGATTAAGGAGAGAATATATTACAAAAGAAATTAAGTGAGAATTTAAAATTTAAAATTACCTTTTAACCTTGAGCCTGAATCACAGCAATGAAACAATCTACACCACAGATAGCTGGGTCTATGCTAACGGGGCTGTTAACATGCACTTTTAGAGGTTAAGGGAGGGCATAATACCCCCCAGGAAACCCTTACAAAAGCCTCTTTGGGGTTCCATGTGATACTTCCTCATGCCCAAATGTTAAATTCTGTAAGAGCTACAAAACTGATTTGGAGTGAGACTTAATTTTCATCGGTATAGCTGTTCCTGAATCATCCCCTGCTATATAGTAAATGATCCTACTAAGTTCATTTATTCACTAAAATTATGTTTAAGTTGTAAAATAATACACTTGTAGGCAAATCAACAAGGTTAGTAACACAGTATGCTGCAAACATGCATGCAAAGTCTAAGGCACCCAGACATGTCTGTGGTACTCCAACAGCAGTCTTTATCCATCGTCTGTCTGGGTCAGTTATTAAGTCTCCATTAAGCTATGTTCCTCCACTCATAGGCAGTAAGTCAAATAATCTTCTTGAAAGCAAGAAATTAACTTGTGAAGCATGGTAACAGACAGGTAATTAGTGATTTAAAAAAAAAAACTGTGTAGACCTAATTACTCTTCAAGGCTATTTGCTGGCATTAAAGGGGTCGAATTCAACATCAATGAAATAGTCAATATCTTATTGCTTCCACCACTGTTCTTCTGTGAATACAGCAAGAAAAGAGGATACTTTTCAGAGACCTGTCAAGTTCTCTCAAATTCTTCTAGAGTATGTCCCTGCCCCAGTCAAACATTGTTCTGTCACCAACAGGCCAACGGGGCTGGTCATCTTTAAGACCAGACGATGCACCAAAGATGGCAGGCTGATCATGGGAAGGTGGAGCTGGGGGGCATGAAGGCAGGTGAGAATGGCCTGGGGTGGGGCACACAGAGGCTCCAGTACCTACTCTCCACTTTGCACCCGCACCTGGGTGCACATCTCCACAGTGAGAAGTGTGTTACTTAAGGCAAGGAAACCCCAACACAGTGGTGTAGGTTTCTTTTTAGAAGATTTGTTGGTAGGAGACAAATAACCAAAAATGTTCTTTCAAAGACAGTACATAAAAAGATGAGGCTGTTTGGAAATAAACTTACTTTGCTTCAGGTACTTTGGCCTTGGGTTTATGAGGTAATGAAACCAGTTCTTTCTAGAGAAAAATAAAAAAAGGAAAATGCTTACTTCCTCTGTCTGAAGTTTATCCACTTGGAAACAGCCTAAGGTAAAATCATCACAGAGCTAGAAAGACAAGCTTCTTGCACCTGAACACTATTCATTCAGAAATGTAAGGGCTCAAGACTTTGAGGTCCATTCAGGAGCCTGTGTTTGAACATCTGTATATTTCTAGTGAGTTTTTTTTAAAATAAAGGTTTTAATCACCTAAGTTTTTGTTTTTGTGGTCTACAAAGAACAATCATTGTAAAATCATTAGCAATGAAGTAGTCCATATTAGTAGCCTACAACTTTATAGTATGTTAACAGTAGATTCCCTGATGTTCAGACCTTGTTTCTTCTGCTATCAGAGTGACAAACTTCTGGAGCTCTCTCTGGTTTATGGGTTGTCCAGTTACTTAATCTCTGTTTTCCCAGTCTTTGGTGCATAGAAGGTTCAAGACATGAGAGTACAGACTTAAAGACCTGCAAAGCTTCTGAACATTCTCCACAGATCATGCATGCCTTCAGTCAGCTATCCAATGCCCCACCACCACTCTTACCAAAATTCTCTCTTCTCTTTGTTTTCTTAGAAGTTGGATAATCTCATCTCTCTTTTTGGCCTATTTGAAGAAAAAATATGAGCTTTTTTGACATACATTAAAGCCTGTATCTGCAGAAGGTAGAATTTTCAGTTTTCTCTGGCATTAGCAGGATGTTAAAATATGTTTTCCACAATAGATCTATGCAGAATAATTTGGTTTTGATTTTTAACATACAGATTTTATTTGCTCAAACCAACCAACTTCTATTTAGATCTTATCATATGAACTATCCTAAGATCTCTAAAATATTGTTATTTTAACAATTCAGAAATTGACACTTCCTCCTCCATTCGACAGATGGGGAAACTAAGGCAGAGTTAGGTTAAACAATTTTCTCAAGCATTTCAATGACAAATTGGGCTTGATCCAGATATTGATGACAAAGTCTTAGCTATTGACAACCAAAGGAAATTGACACTAAATGGCAGTTAGATATAGGATCAGTAAACCCAGAGATCACACCTCACCTGAGCGCACAACAAAAGAATGCTGGCCTTAGAACTTGCACTTGAGAACAAAACTTTTTCCTGGCACCTCTCCCCTTTCTTTCTTGGCTATCAGATTTCATATAGTAGGTATGTTTTCATGAGCATGAAACCTAATTTATCACAGGCATGAAGATATATCAATAAACTACAGAGCAGACAAACTCGGGGGTAAGGGCATTCTGTTTAGAACAAGGCTAGACTAAAGAAATACAAAGTGAGAATAAAATGTGTTTTTCAGAGATGGGAAAATCCCAAGTCAATCTATCCATCCAAATGTATCATGCACTGTGCTTGGGCTTCTCTGTTTCTAAGTAGCGCATTGCTTGCTTTAAAACACCTTTTCTTGCCGTTCTGGCGGCTTTCGGTCCAGATCCAAGGAGTGTGCAAGGCCATGCTTCCTCTGAAATTGACTTCTGGGCCACTTCCTGTGGTCTAGTGGTCTGCTGGCCATCTGTGCCATTCCTTGACTTACTACAGTTTCTGCCTTTGCTGTCACATGGCATTCTTTCTTGTGTCTCGCACAGTCACTTGGGGTAGGGGTTGTGTTTAGTTTTTTAAATTATTATTAGTGTTCTACTTACAGAAAAAAAATTAATTACAAAACAGTACACCTTGCTGTGGAAGAAACAGCCTCAAAAATTTGTTTACTATGCCCCTTTTAAAAGTTTTTATTAGCACATATTACATATAACAGGGTCTCTTCATGACACTTCCATATGTGTATATAATGTATTTTGATCACATTAATCCTATGCCACCCTCTTTTCCCTCTTTCTACACCCATTAATCTTTTCCTGAGCTACCTTCTTCTGATTACTTCAGTCATATTGGATTAGCTCCCCCCATTCCAGTATGATTCCATCTTAACTAATTTCATCCATATCAACTGCATTTCCAAATCAGTTATTCAAATAATAACTTTTAATTCATAAGGACTTATGCTGTCACACTGCTATGTCAGTGCCTGAGCAAGACACAGTTCCTGTCTGGAAAGAGACTTGGTGCTTATGGAGAAAAAGTGGGTAGTTTGTAGTGCTCCATGATGGGTTTAGTAGAGCACACAAGGCCACAAATGAGATCAAGAACTCTTCATTCACACTAGGGTGCGTGTGGGGACCAGGATTCAGAGACTTAGAGAGGGTAGATTCCATGATGGAGATAGATAGGATAGGAAAACAGCTTTTCAGACAGAGGAAGCAGTGCCCAGCACTGTCCAAGCTGCAGATTGCTGATTCATTGGGGTTGTTTTCCAGTCTCCATAGCTCAGTTTAAGGAATACAGTGACACCAGGAACCTTGAGACAGAGAGAAGAGGGCTGTGATTGGCAGCTGTTATCAGCAGTTGGGCCAGTTCTACAGGGTGCTTTGGATTTGCACTAAATTTTGAATTTTGCCTTTTACTTATTTTGAAACTCCTTTTTGAGACAGGGCCTCAGTATGTAGTCTCGGTCTGCCTGGAGCTCTCTATGTAGAGCAGGTAGGCCATACACTCATAGAGAATCTGCCTACCCCTGCTTCCTGAGTGCCACAGTTACAGGTGTGCACTGTCATTCCCAGCCCAAATTTTGCCTTATGAACCTAAAAAGTTTTACTATTTGGAAGAATATATGTACTTTATATCTAACATTTAGACATCATCTGTAACACAGTGAATACATGAAAAAATGTGCACTTCTGCAACTAAGCAAACTTTTGTATGACCTATCAACTTTTATATGTTTGATAAAGTGGTGTCTGCCAGTACAGACATGGGATGCTGTCATTGCACAGGTTCCATGTTGGTTTCTTCAGGTCTCCCATGACTTGTGTCCTCGGTTGGGATCAATTATTCCCATATAGTGACTGCACAGCATGTTGTACCTTACTTACTCTATTGCTCTTACTCTTTCCACTTTCTTAGTTAGCTCTTTTAGAGCCTTATCTATCTTTCTTTAGAGCTCAGAAATGCCTAGTGTGTTATTATTAATGACTTTCTATTGACTTGAATTGCTCAAATCATGGTTATATGGATAGCATCATTGAATTGTGTAACAAAAGTAGTAGAAAATGAAGTTAAAAATTGGGTAAGTTTAGTTATTAAAATCCTCCTACAAGCAAACTATTATAATTCATTTCTGTGTAACTCTTGAGATATGATAGGAAGTTAAATTTTCACATGCTTTTAGTATAAAAATAAATACAAAAAAATAACAGGACAAAATATATTCATGTTTTCTTGGATTTCAGTTCTCCACCCCTTTTAAAAATTCAGAATAGATTTTTAGTAACTATAACCCCAGACACAAAGATTTCAAATGAGATTTTGTTTCTGCTTCCTGGACATGTTTCCTGGGAATGAATAACAGAACTACTGTAAACAATTGTGTCCTCTGAACAAAATGTTGTAAACTATTCTAAGAAATTTCTTCCAGGAAAGCTAAATGCAATTCAGTGATAAGAAGAAATCCTTGCAATTTACATCATGAATATCTCATCTTCAACCATGTTTTGGATGAGCTATTTATTGGAAGTTCATATTGTAAAACATTTTGATAATTAACCCCTAAACAATACATAAGGGGATCATGATTAACATTTGAAACATTAACCTTGATAATTACTTTCTATTCTATTTATATTACTTATATTGATGCTATTCTTGAAAAATAGGAGATAAAATTTGATTACATGAAATTAGAATATGATGACACTATATATACATTCAGTGTGCATTGGGTGGTTAATAAATTTTTGTATCACTCTGGAGTTAAATAATTTAGTTTTCACTTCTTGGCTTTTCAAAGTTAGGCAATTTAAGTGGCAGCATTGGTTAATGAAGTCAGGTATGTTTGGGCTTGAATCCCAATTTTACATTGAGACTAATGACTTCTAACTCCTCCTTTCCTTCCTCCAGCTGTAATCACTAATATAGGTTGGAAGTTTGTAGTCTTGGGTAAATAAAAAGAATACTTTCCTGAATTATTTCTCTTCTATGAGGAATCTTGTGAAAACTGGAGATGATAAAAATGCTTAATATAATGAGTGGCAAATGGTAGTCATTTAATAAGTTGTAGGCATTAAATACCACTATTATGATGAGATTAAAACATCCTTTTAATAATTTTAAAATGTTGAAAAAATGGAAGAGAAAAAGAGGATATCAGAGAGGACTTAAACACATTTTCATTGAATAACTTCTAGGCCTTAGCCTTTGCGTGTATTTATTCTCACAATGCTTGTTATTTCTTGCACAGAAAAATAGACGTCCTTGCTTAGGGTCACTAAAGCAAGCATTAACTGACAAAACCCAAGATTGAACCTCGTTTTCAGTTCTAGTTGACTCCACACTTCCATGCATCTGTTGTTTCAAACATCTGCTAGGGTTTTTGAAAGAGATTGGGGACAGGTGGGAGGGAGGACTGACAAATCTTCATTTCAAAAATGAAGAATCAGTATCAACTATTGTGAAGAAGACACAGTTTCTGTTATTTTATGCTGTAGTAGAAAAGGCATGTGATGGGCCTAGACATCAGGGTCAGCTAATTCAGACTTAGGTCATCCTTGACCAAAATCAACTTACTTACACATGGAACTTTGCAAAAACATGATTAAATGGTAAGGGTGTCATGGAAGAGTTACAGTGATACTTAGAAACTGATAAGCTTTCTAAGATCACTGTTAATCTAAATGAAGTATTTGTGATGAGAGTTCTGATTATATTAACTAAAAATGGGAATTAAACATCAAATTTAGTATGTTACATAAGCAGAATCAATATTCTATGGTTTTAAAGAGATTAAGAATATTATGTGATCTTCATTTTCTTTAGGTGTTATCATTTAATGTTTAACTCTGTGTCTATGATCAGGAGTAAACTAGGGCAATTCAGTTCTTGTCTTCACAGAGTCTTAATCCTTGTTAGACCAAATTTCACATGTATGTTACAAATGCAGTCTTATGGAAAGTAAAAAGTGTGATTAGCTTAAGGCAAATTTATCAGTAAAAGAAAAAACTCCACACATCTGGACTTGATTTCAAAAGGCAAAAACTCTGCTTAGCTTTACCCATGAACTTGCTATTCCCTATACCTGCCAACTAGAGTGTGCTGTGTAGATGCTGCAGTGTGGATTTATATTCACTATTGTAATAAGATGCAGAACTGTTAGCTCTCAAATAATCTACTGTGTTTAAAAGAGCAACCGAATAATCAGTGAAGAGACTTTCTCTAGCAGCAATCTGAGTTTTGTAAACAGGACTGACTGCAGTGATCTATGGGAGTGGACAGAATGTGATAGAGGGTTATTAATCAGAGGGAGCAAGGACGCTGACTTGCAGAAAAAGATGCAGTGCTAAGACCATTCCATCCTTCTTGGAAATAGCTCTATCTTGGCTCAGTTTGCTCTAACACATATAAGCTTCATTTTAAAAATAGCAATTTATTAAATGAAGAAACTTACAAGTCATTCCATGAGAGATATTAATACAAAAATTTTAAATGTAGACTTTATAAAGAATATAGATTTCAATTAAGTATAATTATTTTTGTTAGGGA